TAGTTTAGGGGAAATTGAAGGATTATTAAAGGAGGATTTAACAAAAGCTCTCGGATGGGCAATGTTGGAAAAATTATGTTATTCATTAGTAGAGGGAAAGGACCCTAGAAATGAAAGTCAAATAGAGTTGAGGAATAAAGGAAAAGGGAAGATGAGAAAGGAGGGGAGAAGGAAGCAATTTAATGCAATTAGGAGATATGCTACAAAGAAAGCTAAGTATAAATTCTATCAACAATTATTTGATAAGGATAGAAGAAGATTGACTCGCATTATAATGGGAGAGCCAGATAAGGCTAAGTGTGCTATCCCTATGAAAGAAATTGAGGAATACTATGTGAATATTTTGGGAACAATTGGACATGGTAATATGATAGGGTGGCCATCATCCACAGAGAATGCGGATAATGATATATTAATGAGTCCGATCTCTGTGGATGAGATTAGAATAGCTTTAAGAGAAATAAGAAAAGATAGTGCTCCTGGCCCAGATAAAGTAAAAGTGAGCAATTTGTGGGATATTTTTAATTTAGACTCCTTAATACTTACAAAAATTTTTAATATATGGTTTCTAAATAGACAGGTACCAGATGAATTTAAGAAAAATAGAACGATTTTAATACCAAAGACACAAGATGAGGAGGAAATGAAGAAGTTAACATCTTGGAGACCATTGACAATTGGGTCAGTTTGGATTAGAATCTATACCAAAATATTAGCAAAAAGACTGGTGGAAACAGTTAAGATATGTAGTAGACAAAAAGGGTTTATATCCGCCCCTGGGTGTGAGGAAAATATTGCTATATTAGATAATTTGATTAAAGGGGCTAAACAAAATGGGAATGAAATTGCAATAGTGTTCGTAGATCTGGCTAAAGCATTTGATTCTGTGGGACACGGACATATAATAGCCGGGTTGAGAAGATTTGGTATAGATGAACATTTTATAGATATTATTAGGGACCTTTATGATAATTGCACAACTAGGGTATGGGTGGGTGATGAAGCTACTGAGTCTATTTTAATTAGGAGGGGGGTCAAGCAGGGTGACCCGTTGTCCCCAATTTTGTTTAATATTGCTATGGATCCCCTTTTAACTAGATTAGAAGTAGAAGGAAGTGGTTTTTATGTTAAGGGTAATGGTGTCACGTCATTGGCTTTTGCCGATGATGTGGCAATTTTAAGTAGCTCATATAAAGGAATGATTAAAAATTTGGGTATCTTAGAGGAGTTTTGTAAAAATACTAATCTCTCTGTTAATGTGAAGAAAACGAAAGGCTTTCATATTTTAACTAAACATAAAACCTATGTAGTTAATCCTAAGGATAATTGGCAGATAGGGTCAGAGGAGATTGAATATGTTCAACCAGGGGATTTTGAAAAATATTTAGGGGCTAGAATAGATCCCTGGATAGGTGTAGGGGGACCGGTACTTAAAAAAAAATTGAAAGATTGGAGTGAGAATTTAATTAAGGCCCCATTAAAACCGGCCCAAAAAATATTAATTTTACAGACATATATCTTACCGAAGCTATTTTATAATCTTCTTTTAATAGAACCCCCTTTTAATCTTTTAGACGATCTTGATGTGTTAGTTAGAAAAATAGTTAAAGAGATTTTACATTTACCTCAGTGTACCACAGATGGGATATTTTATTCTAGAGGTAGGGATGGTGGTTTAGCTCTCACTAAGTTTAGTGTGCAAATCCCAAATATGTTAATTCGTAAATGGAGGAGACATATTGTCTCGAGAGATGATTGGATGGACCTATCTTATCTATATGCAGGAGAAAATCTTGTGGATAAAATATTGTCATTTAGTGCAGTAACATCTCATCCCAAGAAATGGAGGGAAGAGGAATTTTTAAGATGGTCGGAACTGAGATGTCAGGGAATAGGGATAAAATATTTTAAAAATTATTTAATTAGTAATTTGATTTTTAGAAACTCTAGTAAAGTTAAATCGTCAGCGTATATCGCAGCATTGCAGCTTAGGCAAATATTTATCCTACTAGGGAGACGTTAGCAAGAGGAAGAGGAGGTGTGACTGCTCTTTGTAGATGGTGCGGTAAAGTGCGGGAGACTGTTCCCCATATCTCAGGACAATGTTATAAGACTAAGAATGCTAGGATAAAAAGGCATAATAGAGTAGTGTCTGAAGTTGTAGATAAGGTTGGTAAATTAGGGTGGAAGGCAATGATAGAGCCCCATTTGAGAAATAGTAAGGGTGAGTTAAGAAAGCCGGATATTATATTTATAAAAGGAGATACAGCAGTGGTGGTTGATGTTACAGTGCGATGGGAGGATAATGCCGGAAGTTTGGAACAAGCCCACAGTGAGAAGGTGGCTTATTATCTTGAGTTAGAGGAAGAAATTAAAAACTTAACGGGAGGTAAAAATATTCACTTCTTTGGTTCTGTGCTTGGGGCGCGTGGCAAGTGGAGTGAAGGTAATAATGATTTGTTACAATTATTGGGAATGGACAGAAGTAAAAATTTTAAGGAGAGTATATGTAGACTTGTTTTATATTCCACTATTGGTATGATGGCTGTATTCAGTGACAGGTAAAGATCCCGGAGTTTCCATTCCATGTATCTTGCCAAAACTAAATTTTAGCTATTTTGGTTTCCATGCTCTAAATTTTCAAATTTTTAATATTGTTTTGAACATTAACTTATTTAGTGTTATTTAATATCTGTCCTTCAATAGAATGGTTTTAATTATATAATAAATACTTATTAATGGATGAAATTCCAATTTAAATTATTAGTTTATTTATTTATTTATTTTTAACTACTGGATGTGGATGCGGACTGGCCGCGTATAATAACCAGGAAAGGGCAGGTAGTCACGCCTGTACATAAATAGGGGGTGGAGTCCTAGGGGGAAGTTAGGGGCAGGGGTCCCAGGAGGGGGCAGTCAGGGGACAAGGAGCGGGGGGAGGGTTGCAGGTTGTGCCCGCAAGGGGGCCGTGATACAGGCGAAAGAATGACACTCAATGCCTGAGAGTAAAAAGCAAGGCTTTACTGAAGGAAGAACTTACGCTCCAAGCGGTGCGGGGAGTCCCTGAGGCGCGCGGAGGGGCTGCGGGGGATTCTGACCGTCCGGGACAGCTGGCCAGGCAGGACTCCACTGAAGGGAGTCCGCTGCAATGCTATATCCCCCCGCGCTTATCTCAAGGTTACATGGGGTCAACAGCTGGCTACATTCATTTCATTCATAAATCGTACTCATATAAGCTAACTTGTTTACAGACAAAAACATGCTGAACTATACTAAACTACATTTTGGCAGGGTCTGCCGAACAAAGTTCATTGCATGGCCTTCAACTGCTTCCGCCTGCATTCAGTCACATACTCGGTCCACCACTTAGCTCCTCGCCAAGCTTCCGCAACCTGTCCCCTACACTCCACCCCTTGGCGGACTGAGGTGTGTTAGTTTAGTCACTGCCACCAGCGCACGGTGAGCGCGCGCACCGGTTTGGGTGTTGCCATCCGGGGCAGGAGGGTGGAGAAGCAGTTTATGCAGCATTGTAGGAGCACAAATACACATACAAATCCCAGTAGTCCCATTAATAACAGGAGTCCAATGTGTCTCCCCCAGGCGCCGAGATCCGGAAGCCAGGAAGTTAGCCATTGCCAAGAGTCATTCCATGCAGAGGCCTCAGAGCCTACATCATGTAACACTTTCAAGTGGTCCATCATATTGTGAACATCAGTTTCAATGCGCTTATCCTGATTTGAATAAAAACAACAACTTTCATTAATCAAGGCACAAACACCACCTTGGGCAGCTAGTAAATAATCCAGCGCCATGCGATTTTGCAATACTACTTGCGATAGAGAAGTTACCTCTAATTGCATAGCGTGGATTGCATCTATGGTATCATTTTCTATAATCTCTAACGTGGCTGAAATATTTACAATAGCACGCTCTAATTCGGCCACCCCTAGCCCGGGGAGAAAAGCACGGACGAATTGATGAAAGCCTGTGGGTCTCTGCACAATGGGGTTTGTGCTCCGTCGTGAACGTGTCACCAATATATAATTGTGCACTGCATGAGCGTGCATAGTGTGCATTCCATACGAATAGGGGAGAAGCCGTCCCAGTGTGCACCGTCCGTACCATTGGTTGGGTAGGGTTTTATACGCCCAGTGGCCACATAGCCAGTACAACCCTAGCAACCCTGCTGTGGGGAGCCATATGCTGCCTGAGGTGTTGCGACACCAGCTGTTGGAGCTCTGGTTACATTGAGGCCAATAATGGGTGCGTGGGATATGCCCGCGTCTAATCGTATTAAGGGGCGTTTTCCATACAGGCGTGCTGGTGTTGAAATAGTACAAAAACCCACGGGTATGTAGTCCCCACTCGCCCCAATGCCACCACCGATGGCAGAGGGTGGTGCCATTCGAATAGGTCAAATTAGTTCCAGAAGAACCGGAACAATTGTCACTTGAGACCCACGTCTCCCCAGCCATCCACTCACTGTACAATCTCGGTAGGCTGGCGGTGACATTAAATTGCCTGGTGCCTGGCAAGTATTCTACTACTACTGCACACGAGGACAGGGGAAGTTCTCCAACAGGACGAACAGCGTCCATTGCTGGAAATCGCTGCACACACAAATGCGCATTCCCCAATACCACCACTGGTGTCCCTTGGCGCTGGTAGGGGGGTGTTTCATTATACTTGGTGAGAAAGGTGGTATCGTTAAGGGCCCAGGATTCATTCCACGGCACTGCAGCCCACGGGATGCCAGTGCTTGCCAATTGGGGGGGCGTGTGCGCAGTACCAGCAGTCCAACCTGTTACCTGCTAGTGCCACTGACTGCATCCACTGGACAGTGGAATTGTGGTGCCATGTGGCTTGGGCACCAGTCGCAATCAAACCTAGTTCAAGGATTAGGCTGTAGAGCGCATGTCGCAGGAACATCACACAGGTTTTGGTCTTCGGGTGGCACGCCCGGAGTGCTCCACGGGGTTGTGCAAACTGCAGTGCACCGGTCATGGTCGCCTGGAAGAAAGACGCTTAGAGGGCACATAAATTGGGGTGTCTTCCCCTTTTAGCAACACGAGGTGAGTATCCCCGGGGCCATCGGCTAGGATTTCCCCTTTAAGCGGGTTATGCTTGGTGGGGTCATGGACCCAAACTGCACGCCCAGTCGAGCCGAACCCCCCTGCTCGAGTAGTGGGCATAAGCGCCTCCACTTCCTGCACATCAGGCATTCCAATGTGCTCGCAAATCAGCTGTGCAACCCGCTCACCTTGGGAGAGGGTTATTGCCTGCGGGCCATTGTGCACCAAAAGCACCTTAACCTCCCCCGTGTAGTCAGCGTCGATCACTCCCGCCGCCACATCTATGCCCTTGAGGGCCAGGCTACTGAGTGGGGCAATGTGCCCATAATAGCCTTGTGGGAGCCCAATGGCTAAGCCAATACTCACGAGGTTTCGGCTATTAGGCTGCAGGGTGAAACTCTCTTGAGGGACCCGTAGATCAAGACCAGCACTTCCCGGGGTGGCCTGAATGGGGAGGTGGGCTTGCGAGTGCAAACGCTGCACTCGCAGCACACGGGGCTGCTCGATGACCTCCCCCTTAAACCTGGCATACGGGGTGGAGCCATACAGCGGACAGTCATTGAGCGCGGCTGCAGCCTGGCGGAGGTTACGACTCCATCCGGCCAGGGATTCAGTGGGGGATAGTTTGCGTAGCTGCTCTTTAAGCAAACCGTTCATGCGCTCAATGAGCCCGGCGCCCAGCGGGTGGTATGTGATGTGAAACACCCGGACGATTCCTCACCCCCTAGCCCATTCTCTTACTTCCATCCCCGTGAAATGGGTTCCCTGATCACTCTGCACTTCAAGGGGGGATCCGTAATAGCAGATAAGTTCTTCTAACCCCTTTATAGTCTGCTCCTGTGTAGCACTTGCGCACGGGTATACGAAGAGCAGGCCAGAATACGTGTCTACTGCAGTCAGCGAGTACTTATGCCGCTGACTTTCAGGCAGCAGGCCAATGTAGTCCACCTGCCATACCTCCCCAGGTCTTTGGCCTCGCTTCAAGTACCCCTTCTCTGTTTTCAAGTGCTGGGGGGAGAGCCTCGTACACTGGGGGCAGTGCTGACGAGCGTCCCGCTGCGCACCGATCATAGTCTGCAACCCACGATCGGTGGCCCATTGCATTGCCTTCCCACCCCCACCCCCCAGGTGACTGCTTTTTTGGTGTATCCACTCGGCCAGGCCGGGGGCAGCTACTGCATAGACTGTGACCATGTCATCTACCTCTCTGTTGAACTGGGCCTCGTCTGCTTCCCCTATCAGGTGGGCGTCTACATGATGAACAGCAACGGGCCTCTGACTACAGGCATCCCAGATTGCAGGCCACATGTCATACCCTCAAAGGGATCTGTCATGTACCTTCCAGCCAGCCACATGCCAGACGGCCATCCATTGCGTCATGCCTTTGTAGACTGCCCAGCTATCTGTATATATAAAGAGGGGCCCTGGGTTCTCGGTGATGGTTATAAACGCTGCCCGTAGCTCAGCCCACTGGCTAGACAGGCCGGGGCCGGTCTCAAATAGAACTTCCTCGAGGCAGGGGTTGTACGCGGCCGCTCGCCACCAGCGTTCTGCTCCCCTATATGAAGCCGATCCATCAGTAAACCACGCGGCTTCTCGTTGTTGTTCGGTTAAGGAGGCGTAGGGAGGGGCCTCCACACAGGGCGGCTGAGGTACCTCAACTGGGGGGGCATAGGCATGCTGCCCTTCAGAGGGCAGTTCCTCAAAGGTGACAGCACCGAGGAGCCGTGCGTGCGTATCGGTAATGTTCGCCTGGGTCATTTGCATACGGAGCTGCAGGTAGTGTTTCCACTTCCATAGGGTTTGGGCCTGGGCTACTCCAGTCTGCGTAAACGGGCTCTCATCCCAGACCCAACCCATAATTGGAAGCAGAGTCCACACCTTTACAGGCTCCGCGCCTGTTATGGGCTCAGTTTGCTGGAGGGCCCATATTACTGCAAGCAGCTGCTGTTCGAGAGGCGTATACCGTTCAGCCGAGCCTCGTAGGGATCGCGACCAATACCCTATGGGCTCCTTCCGAGATGAGGCTTGCTGCCATAGCCCCCACGAGGCCACGTGGTCAACCACCATTACCTCAAGTTCAAAGGAGGTGCCCAGTTTACCTGGGCTCAGTACTGCATGCTGGCTGAGCGCCTCTTTAGCCTGTTGAAATGAGGCATGCTGTTTGGCTCCCCAACTAAATGTGGCTTTCTTCTGGACTACTGCTTGGCTGCAGGATATACCCTAGATGGGGAATAAACGTGCGCCAGTATCCTAAAAGGCCCAAGAAAGTTTGGGCTTGGCTTACGTTAGTGGGCTCTGGGAAGTGGGTAATCATTTCAATGGCCTTCTGTGGGATTTTACGCTGGGGTCCTGACCAAAGTATGCCCAGGAATATCACCTCCTGGCTGGGTCCCTGGATTTTACTGGGGTTGACGGCCCATCCCCTGGCTGCCAAGGCCTGCAAAACATTGTTCTTGGCCTCGGAAAGTGCCGTCTCGTGGGGCCCGCTCAGTAGGACATCATCAATATAGTGTTCCAAAACCACTCCCTCTGGGAGAGCCATCTGCTCCAGGTCTCGGCTAACCAACTGGTGACAGATGGTAGGACTATGTTTGTACCCCTGGGGCAGTACAGTGAACGTGTACTGCCGATCCTCCCACGTAAAGGTGAATTGATCTTGGCTCTGTGGGGCAATGGCAATGGAAAAGAAGGCATTCGCCAAGTCCACCACCACATGCCACTGCCCTACTCGCGTTGCGAGGCGCTCCATGATGGAGACCATATCGGGAACTGCCGCCGTTAGGGTTGGGGTAGTCGACCGTCATGCGCCAGGTTCCGTCCTTTTTGCGGACTGGCCAAATTGGGCTGTTGAACGTGCTCATGGCAGGACGGATGATGTCTGCCTGGAGCAATCCTTTAACGGTGGCGATTATCTCCTCGTGCCCACCAGGTATCCGATACTGTTTGGTATTGCCTACCATGGTAGGGGTCGGAAGCACCACGGGGTCCCACCACAGATGCCCTCGCAGCATGGTTACGACCGCTCGGACATACAGCGGGCGCCCAAAGGAAAAGGGTCCCCACTGGGTGTCTATGGTCTGCCCTCGGAGGAGATCTATGCCCAATATGTACTCATGGATGGGGGTGATCAGAACAGTGACCCGCATGGGAGAGGCTTTCCCTATGGCCAGCCTTAACTGCATCGGCGTGGCCCGAACATCCGCCCCTCCGAGGCCGCTCACCATTACTGACCGGCCCCGACAGGGCAGAGTGCCATGCAGTATAGTCACCTCCGCTCCCATATCCATGAGGGCCATTACTCATTGCCGCCCCCCACTAGGCCAGTAGATCTCTACTGGGACATAAAGGTGGTGGTCCCCCACTACAAACCACCTCACTTCCAAAGTGGAGGGCGGCGGGGACCCGCCACCCCGTTAGTATTGGGCGGGCAGCTTCCACTCAACATAGTCTGCGGGCAGGGCAGACGGTTGTGCCCGCTGAGGGGTGCCATCTGCCTTGTTTTGGGGCCCCCCTTTGTCCTTGGTGCACTGTTCCAGCTTGAGCTGTAACCAGCGCCTTAACAGCTCAGCGTTGGTTTTCCCATCTACCTCCTCTAAGGGGGTCCCCGCTTTCAGTAAGTCTTTGAACATAGTGCTGCGGCTACCCCTCTCCTTTTGCTTTACGCTCACCTGCCGCGGCTTGGTGGTTTTCATCATACCATCAATCTCTGTCAATTGCATCATGAGCTGTGCCGCATCACCCACCGACCCTATGGCCCCTCCGACCATCGGGAGGATCATTGCCTTCAGGTGAGGGGAGCGTTCCGCCGGAGTTGGGTACGAATGGTGTGGGTCAGCTCCACAGCGTCAGGCCCTTCAAAGTCCTCGGCAAATATGCCGGTGAGCATTCCCAGCTGTCGGAGCTGGCTAACCCCCTCTGGGATGGAAGCCCACTGCTCTAACCCGTAATCCATGTCTGCGGGCGAACTCCAAATGGTCTTAATAGCCATGGCTAACCAGGATATAAGGGAAGGATATGGAAAGTCTGTCGTCGTGGCGGCCCCTGCCTTAAGACTCCTACGAAGGAGGGGGTCTGTGGTCAGCGAGCCCATCCTGCCTAGCTCAGCAGGGGTAAGGGTAATCGCGTCCGCCCCCTCATCCCACAATCGGAGCAGCCACGCCAGCAACGATTCTTTGGGGCGCTGCTTGAAACGCTGCACAAAGTCCTGTATCTCAGAGGATTTAAATTCCCGGATAGTATCCCTTCCCACCGTATTATCATTATCCCCGTGCAGCCCCTCGTACCACGTCTCGACAACGGGCCGCAGTTGCGGGTGGAGCCCCATCTTCCCGCCGTCCCCCTCCCCAGGGGACTCATCTTCACTTGTCTCCCAGATGTCCCCATCACAGATCTCTGGGTCCCAATCGGTTTTGCGCACCAGTGCCTGTACGGCAAGGGGGCGCACATCCCGCCGCCCTCCCTTTCACCGCCGGCGGTTCGCAATGCGAGCCGCCATGACCGTGCATCGGTGCTCCAACCGCTCGGCCCATTCAGCTGTACCAGTGATGACCTCCTGGGTCAGTAAACGTGCCTCATTTGCTTGCTGCAAATCAGCCTCTAACCGTCCTATCCTCTGGCGCTGAACCAGCAGTGCCTCGTCCACCGTGCGGAGTGCAGTCAGGAAAACCCATCCCAGGTCTCCCGCTGCTTTACGCTCTGCAGGTCCTGCTTTATCCAGCCGGAGCTTGGATATCAGCTCCTCCAGCCTAACTGGGGTAACCCCCGGCTCCTGCTCAAGCTCCGGCCATGCGGCGGGGGCAACCATCCCCGCCAGCTTACGAGCCACTGGTGCCCACCGTCCCGTGGCGGGCCACCCGGGGATCCGGCTCTCTCCCTCCCCCTTATCCTTCCTCCCCCAAAGAGGCATTCCCACGCCGTTATCCTGTTTGTGATGCCAATTGTGCCCGCAAGGGGGGCCGTGATATCGGCGAAAGAATGACACTCAGTGCCTGAGAGTAAAAACCAAGGCTTTACTGAAAGAAGAACTTACACTCCAAGCGGTGCGGGGAGTCCCTGAGGCGCGCGGAGGGGCTGCGGGGGATTCTGACCGTCCAGGACAGCTGGCCAGGCAGGACTCCACTGAAGGGAGTCCGCTGCAATGCTATATCCCCCCGCACTTATCTCAAGGTTACATGGGGTCAACAGCTGGCTACATTCATTTCATTCATAAATCGTACTCATTATATAAGCTAACTTGTTTACAGACAAAAACATGCTGAACTATACTAAACTACATTTTGGCAGGGTTTGCCGAACAAAGTTCATTGCATGGCCTTCAACTGCTTCCGCCTGCATTCAGGCACATACTCGGTCCGCCACTTAGCTCCTCGCCAAGCTTCCGCAACCTGTCCCCTACAGGGGTTCTGAGGGGGGCGGGAAGTGGGAGGGAGTGGAAGGGGCAGGGGTGGAGCTAGGGCAGGATGGGGGCGGGGCTAGGGCGGGGCTCCTCCCATCCTCTTTTTTGATTGTTGAAATATGGTAACCCTACCATTCACCAGTTGCTGTTTTATGAAGCAAATGCCAGTTATACTAGTCTAGTAGTTACTCAGAAAGAGCCGGATCCAAAGTCCGCTGAAGTAAATTGAAAGAAATTCTTTGATGTCAATGAGCTTTGA